TGTGTGGGGAGAAGGGTGCAACGATGAATGAATGGAATTCCAAAATCTCTGTAGATGTTCATTGAAATGAAAAATAAACAAACTAAATCATTAAAATAAAAGAATGATAGCCTCAAAAACTATACTGAAGGTCTCCCTGAATTCAAATTCACTTGATGAGTTTGTTGGGGTTTTTTGTTGGGTTTTTTTAATGGTTGCCAACTTTCTTATTTTACAAACAATAATGATACATTTCTATCGTCACTCAAACTTGGTTTACCCCAAGATTTATTAATTTTTGAAAGTAGCAATTTTAAACGTTACTTTCTACACATTCACTTATAATTAAATCTAAGTGACAATGATGTTCAATTTTAATCCCTATTTCAAAATGTTTCACGACAAAGGAAAACATGATGTATTGTTATTGTTTTTGTTTCTGTTCTGGGCCCTGACTTATGCTGTGGTTGTTATTGCTATGAACCTTCAAATCAGAACTAACGCAAAGCTGACCCTCCAGTGGGTTTTCTGAGGCTGTAAATCACACAGGAGGAACTTGTCTCCTACAACGCAGGCTGTGCTGAGTACTATGCATACTTTATCTCATACTGCTGTTGTTGTTATGCACTGTTGAGTCAACAGTGACTCATAGCGACCTGATAGAACAACAGATCTGAACTATGCCCTTTCCTGCTCCATCCTCATAACCTCCTACGTGCTGGAGCCCATCGTTACAGTTACTATGTTTATCTATACAGTAGTCATCTCCAAGACCACAATTAAAAGGCATTGATTCTTCTGACATCTTTATTCATAGTTGAACTTTCATAGGCATGTGATGCACTTACAAAGACCATGACTTGGATAAGGTGCACCTTAGTCTCTAAACTGACATCATTCCTCTTTACTACTTTCAGTGAGGTCCTTGGCAGCAGATTTTTCCCCCAGTGTAACTGCCTTTTGATTTATTGTCTGCTTCTGCCATACGTATTGATTGTGCATCCAAGTAAAATGAAATTGTTGACACCTTCACTCCTCTCTCCATCTGTCATGATGTTGCCTATTGGTTTTCAAATACCAGCTCTTTGCATATTTCATTACAATATTTTGCTTTGTTTTCTGGAGCTGCCCTTTGAAATCTTCTGCTCATCTCTTACTTCATTTCTTCTCCACATTCTAGTGAAAATTTCTGTCTTCTGAAAGCTACATGGTCTTTTCATCTTTTCCAATCTTTGTAAATGGTGATTCTATACATGGATCTCATCTGATGGACTACATAGGAATCAGACTAACTTCATCTGTAGAGAGGATAGGAAAGTTCAATATCACCAGTCACAACCAGGCCAGGGGTTGCCTGTGGAACAGACCATCAACTCACATGCAAGGTTAAAATGGAAGCTGAAGAAAACTAAAACAAAAACCCAAATATGGCCTTGAATGAGTTTTAAAACAAGAATAGATTTGAAAAAAATTAAATTAAAAAAGAATAGATTTGATGCATCGAACAGGAATTATCAATGGCCAGATGAGCTGCGGGATGACAGCAAGGATATCATGCATGAAGAAAGCAAAAGGTCAAAACACAGACAGACAGACATGCTCTCATACATCTTAAATTCTTCATCAGTATTCCATTTGATCCTTAAAGCAACTCCATGAGGAAACCAGATGCTGCTGAGTCAGTCCTACTCTGCCACAGCTGAGGTCACCATGTGTGTCAGAGAGGAACTATGCACCGTGTTGCCGGTGCTGTTGTTGGATGCCATTGAGTCAACTACAACTCATAGCAACCCTGTGAGCAACAGATCTGAACCTTGTACCACTTCCATGGTCTCTCCCATGCTCAAGCCCATTGCTGCAGTGGCGGTCAATCCACCTCCCGGAAGGTCTTCCTCTCTTTCTCTGACCCTCCACCTTTCCCAGCATGATCTCTTTCTCCAAGAATTGACTTCCCCTGACAACATGCTCAAAATATGTGAGATGAAGTTTCACCATCTGTGCCTCTGAGGAGCACTTTTTTCACACTTCCACCTGACAAACTGGTTTGTTCTCTTGGCAGGCCATGAGCTATTCAGTACTCTTCTTCTACACCACAACATGGATTCTTTTCTGTCATCCTTATTCACTGGCCAACTTTTACATGCATAGGAAATAATTGAGAAAGACCACAGCTTGAATCATGCACAGCTTGGCCTTTAAACTGATATGCTTATTCTTTTACACTTTGGAGAGGTTCTTGTCAGCATATTTTTCCAGTGCAACAACACATCTTTTGATTTCCTCACTGCTAGTACTAAAGGTGTCGAATGTGAATCCATGCAAGATGAAATTGGTGATAATTTCAACCTTTTTTTCCATCTATCATAATGTCACCTATTGGTCCAGTGATGAGGAATTTTTTTTTCTTGATTTTGAGATGTAATCCATAATGACTGTTGTGGTGGTGGGAGATCTGGTAGCCTAGTGGTAAGAACCTGCGCTGCAATCCCAAAGGCACATGGTTCAACTCCACCAGCTGCCCCACAGGAGAAAGATGGGCACCCGCCATGCAATTATCTGCCCCTGAAAACCCAGAGGGCCAGCTATGGGTCGGTTCTGACTTGATGGTACACAACAACAATCCATATTGAAGGCTGCAGTCTTTGATCTTCTGCAGTAAAGTACTTCAAGAACTAAGCACCATAAGGTCAATAAAAGATGAGTTTTAAAAAAACCAGATCTTTCTCTGGGTGGACTCACCAGCCTTTCAGTTAGCAGCCACATGTGTAAACCATTTAAACCACTCATGGATTGCCATTATAGGAGATGGAGAGTATTTACATCTCCGTTTTACAATAAAGACACTGAGGAACAGAGGCATCAAATAACTTGACACACAGGAAGCACTTCTTAGCCCTTTGTAGCCCTTCTTAAACCTACTGAATGGACTCACATAATAGGAAGAGATGCTCCATTAATTCCATACACAGTTACCCTGAACTAGCTCAAGGCCATGTTCTCGCAGCTTCTCAAGGCCTCTGTTCTAAAGTGTCAACAGGAAAAGTGACAGTGAACTTTGCTCTGTTCCCAAATCTGGGGGATTAGCAGTAATGCTCTGCAGCCAGTGGCCCACTTGTGGTTCCCCTCAGCAGAAAAGCACACTCACATAAGTTGTCACCCACATAAGCTGTCACCTGCTTCCAGAGCTTGGATGCTATCTTTAAAAAGCATCAAAAGGCCCAGGTCTTTGGAACAAGAGTTCCTCTGGGTAATACATTTTTTTCCACTGGCGGGGAGGGGAGCATCCTAAAATCTTGACCTTTTTTTTTTGTGTGTGATTTCTGGAAAAGACAGGCTAACTAGGGATAATCATTAATCTCATAGATGGTTTGCTTTAAATACTACCTCTGTTTAACTCAGTGGCCAAAGAGGATGAAAATGAGCTTGGAGTTTTACTCCAAGACGGTCCTCACTAAAATGAGGACGACGAGGAAGGCAAGTCGGGCAGACTCACCTCCACTTGAAGCGTCCCACATCCTTTCAGGAAGTCATTGATGTTGCTGGTGCAGTCTTCTTCTGTTTGGGGTTCCGTACAGTACTAGAGAGAGAGGACAATTATATGTCACTTAGAGTCAGCCATGCCCTGACCAGCAGCTCCTATTCTTCCCTCACTGGTAACTAGATAAGGTCGACTTGTTTTCAGACAAAGATAGCATTGCTCTGAAAGCAGGAAGGGAACTATCCCCAGAAGGAAGTGATGAAAAAATCTAAACGGTCGCTCTCTGTTTCAAATGTCACCAAACTTTTAGTTCCCTGCCATCCCTCCCTCCTGGCAGACTTCTCATGCCTTCTGGTGCCGAGAGCACATTAGAAACACCAAAATGATTATTTTTAACTTGGTTTAATGTTTTTCAAGTGGGGGCTGTTTTCAACCTACTACTACCCTGCCCGTTCATTGTGGAAATTCATTAAAATGACATTTTCCCTCTTTGCTGTCATCTACGCTTTATCACCTTTCCCTACACTTTATCACCATGTCTCCAGTTTAAGAGCTAATAAGTAAAACTACTTGCTCAATAAAATTTTAAACTGACTAAAAAGAGACAAAGGAATCCTACTTAGTCCCTGTCAACTTAAAAAAAAATAATTGTAGGGCCTTATCTCAAAATCTTCTTAAAGTACCAACATTAGAACTTACCCATCTTCATGATCACGAATTTCCAACATTAAGAAAGGAGGTTGGGTTGTTGTTTTTTTTTTTCACCCAAGAGACTAAGGTTAGTTTCACTTTGAACACACTTGCAATTTGCAACATATATTTGACCTTAAGCATTTTTACAAACATTGGGTGAGATTTTTAGTTACTTCTTTTAGTTGCAAAGGAGTCTATCCTTTAGTGGACCTGTTCTTGTTAAGGAAATACAGGTTCGTCTTAGTCAAATTGTCAACAAACACCCTGAATATTGATTATAAATCATCCTGTTATTTCCCAGACTCTTCTGTCCCCAAATTAAAAACATTCCCTTGGTCCACGGGAGGTGTAACATACAGCTCTGCGACAGAGCAAATCTGACATACGGGAGTCCTTGTCCACTCTTGACAGTAAATGTAAACATTTTTACTCAGTTATTATTGTGGTGCCAGTTATGACAGGAGGAAATTTCCTTTGTGGACGTCTTCTAAGTACGTGGAAGAACTGCATCTTAGTATGAGATTCTCATGACCTGGACAAGAAAAATGCCAAGAATTTGCGCTATTACTGCTCTTTGGTGGCAATTAGTCCCGAAGACAGGTCTTCCTTACCTTCTCCACAGAGCCAGGAACAAGTCTGTTGATAAGCTTGCACAGCACTACCCCATTTTTCAGCGAGGACTTCAAGAACTCCTCCGGATCGCAGATGGTCTTTTTGGGGGAATCTAAGACTCCCAGGGAGATAAGCCATGTCACGATTCGTTCTTCTGGATTCATTACTGAGGAACGGACGCTCAGCACAGCTCTTGGGGCAGCTGCAAGGACTAAGCCACATCCGCGATTGCATCTGCTGTTGTCTTCCTTTTTATGAGTTCTCTTCTGGTGCGTGCAGAGCAAAGGTTTCAGACAACTTGCCTTAGACGACAGTGGAACCCACTCAAAAGAGGTCCCTTTCAAACCACAGAGGCAATCAATAACTCGAGGATAAGGGAATAGTTCGAATAAATGGGACGGTCCTGATTTTCTCTTTCAAAATACGTTCTTTGGGATTAAAAAAGAAGGTAGACAGGCACGCACACCCCCCCCCAAGGGGGCGGGGAGGGGGAAGCCAGTGCTAGATGCTGGGTAAGGGAAGGAAGTGCTGAATATGCTGCAGAGGGAAGAGAGAGTGGAGGAAGTAAGTGCCCCTGGAAAAGAGAGGTGAGCCAGCCCTTCAGGGGACCTTGGAAATGAGACACCCAAGGGCCAGTCTGGGGGGAAAAAAAGCTGTCAGTAAATAGTCTAGCCTCAGTGAAAATTTGGCTTCTGTCAGGAGGAGGATGCCAACTGGCTCTTAGGTCAGGCTGCGCTGAGCCCATGGGGAGCTGCCCTGACACAACAGCTTGAAGGCCTTGGGCTAAGACAATCCTTTCTGCAGACAAGGTTAGGGTCTCCTCATGCTATCTCAGGGAGATAGTGTGTTATGATCATTCCTTATAAAGCTTATAAAACCGAGTTGCACATGACAACGTGCCAAGTGAATGAAGACTGTGCCTGCTGTCAGCCATCATTGTGTATAAGCAGAAGCTAGGAGAGTGGCATTTTACTTTGCAGCCAAAAAGCTATGTTTAGGGAAATAGGCTAAGGATAACATCTGACATCCTGTTTACTTGCATTCTTTAGCAATTCTTTTTTTCTGGACCTGGTTCCCCTACTGCAACCCAGCTGCAGTACCCTTAGCAAAGGCTCAGACCCAGTCTCATGAGTAGGTAAAAGATACTTGAGAACATTCGAGAAGAAAAGGACACTTGTTCAGTCTATACTACACTCATGGGAGGCTGAGATTTCGCCAACGAGAAAAACTTCGCCTTTAAAATTATGCTTGCAGAGGGGAGTAAGGGACGTGTGTGAGGGAATAGGAAAGGTTCAGTGGAGACTTGAAAAGACCGAGTGATAATAGGCAGAGCACAATGGTAATTCATTATATATAATACAAGGTATACAAATGAGTGTATAAAATACAAAGCACATGTACAGAAAGAAAAAATGCTGCTGCAGGAGTCGGGGGACCTAACCCAAAACTAGCCCATAAGAAGAGATTTTTCCCTAGTGGCAAGAAGCCGCACTGCAATCCCAGAGGCACATGGTTCAAATCCACCAGAAGCTCTGCTGGAGAAGGAGGGATGATCTCCTCCTGTACCAGTCAGATCCAATTTGATGGTACACACACAAAAATAATAAATAAAAATTCATAATAAAAAAGAAGATTTTTTTTTCATTCTCTGCAACTCTTTTTCAGAACTAGCTGAAACAGTCACACAATTGAGAGGTTTATCATAAGGCCTACCATTAATTGTTGTTATGTGTTGTCAATTTGCCCATGCCTCATAGCAACCCTGTGTACAATAATAGCTCTGAACCCTGCCCTATCCTGAGCCAATCTCACTGACTCCCACACACCTATCCCATTGCACCAGCGACCGTGTCAATCCCTCTCATTCAAGGTTTTGGCAAATGCATTACCGTCCCTTCACCTCTTGTGTGGAGAGGCATTGCCAACCAATCATAGTTCTTTCCTGCTAACATTCAGAACCCTTCTCAGCATAACTTCAGGCACCTACTGCCAAGTGATCTGCTGAGATAATTCTGCTAAGTACTTTCAAAGCTGTACTTTATTGTTTTGTCACGACACTTATTACCCTTTACAGCAATTGCTTGTTGATCTAACTCCTCCATCAGAATGCAAGCTCCCTGGAGATGAAGGACCTCATGTGTCTTGTTCCCACTGTGTTCCCAGCACAGTATCGGATACCTGGTAGATGTTCAAAGTGCTAATTCCATAAACACACTCATTTGGTGTCCCTGGAGAGAGACTGTGTGACTAAAACAGGGATTGCTTTAATGACTTAAAAAAAAAAAGATCTTGTTCTCATGTACGGCTAAGCACAATTGATAACAAGTGCATCTAAATTCCAAAATCAATCTCCATAATAGTCTATGTGTTTCCTACTGCCAAAGGGGCCCTTTAGAGTAGTGAGAGAAGATCTTCACCCTGAAACCTACAGCATCCCTTTTCAGCAGGAATTAGCTAAGAGAATACGCCATCCCCTTTTCCTTATGAATCAGGGTGAAGTCTCTCTCAGGAAGGAGTGATAGGGAATGGCAAAGGACACACTGACTGACAAAGGAGATTAATCAGAACTGGCTTTGACAGGCACTGTGGCAATTGGACAATTAAAACACATTCGGGGGTGGGAAGAAGAACAAACTGGGGAGGAGGGTAGAGAAAACAGTGCAACAATGAATGAATGAATGAATGAATGAATGAATGAAAACAAAAAAAAGATCTTGTTCTCAAACTAGTGATATTGTACAACCTTATTTAAGTATAATTGGCACAAAATAAACTGTTTAAGGCATATGGTTTAATGAGTTTTTATATAGGTATACACTTGTGAAAGCATCACAATTAAGACAGTCGTTTCCGTCAACCTCTGCAAACCTTTTCTTATGTCCTCTCAACCCCTTTTCGTCACTCACAGTTGTCAAGTTGGTTCCAATTCAGAGGTCCTCCATCAGGGTTCTGAGGCAGTAAATTGCATGGGGAGGTGACCATCCATCTTTCTCCCTCAGAGATGCTGGTGGGTTAAAATCACCAGAGATGCACAGTCTCTGGGTTGGCAGGTCGACTCACTGCAGGTTATGCCACCAGAGTTCCCTCTTTAAACCCTAGACAACTACCAGTTTTCTTTCTGTCCCTGGAGATTTGATTGTATTTTCTAGAATATTTTATAAATGGAAGTTTGGTCTGGCTTTTTTTTTCTCCAAATATCATTGTTTTTACAAAACAACTATGAGATATCATCTCACCCCAGTCAGAATAGCAAAATTTAACAGAACAGCAAGCAACAAATGCTGGCAAGGTCGTGGAGAAACTGGAACCCTTATTAACTGTTGGTGGGAGTGTAAAATGGTGCAACCACTGTGGAAAGCATT